TTTCCCTGGGAAACGGAGCTTTTGAGGCCGAGCGAAGAGGTGCATCTGGAAAAGGGCCGTCTCCGCGGGACGTGCGCGGGGCTCCCGCTCCGGAAGGAACCTTCCTGAGGTGGTTTCCCGCGGCACGTGCCCCCCGGGCAGGCTCGCGGCCACGTACCTGTGCCTTGTGGGCTCCGCGCCCGACGTCCCCGTGTCCTGTTCCACCTCCCTGGGGAACGTGAGCGGCTGTGTCGCCGTTTCCCGTCCCTGGCTCACGTGATTCAGGGACAGCTGCGGGCGGTCCCTCGGCCGGCCGACCGTGTCACTGTTGGTACCTTGAACTGTGAACTCAGGTCTGTTCCGAACGCGTGAGAGAGAGGTGAGGGCTCGGGGGGGGGGCTGCCCTGTGTTTTCTGTGTGTGAGCACCCGACAAATCCATGAAATCGAGCGAAAGAGGAAGTGTTCCGATTCTTTGTTATTTTATTATATTTATACGGAAAACGTGACTGTCCCTTTGGTCAGTACAAGCGTGTTGTCTCTTCGACCCAGGACTGTCTCGCGTGTCTGTGCCTGTGACAACGGTCAGCCCCGGTCACTGGTGGAAGTGACTGTCATCGTGTGAAGTCCAGGAGAAAAAGTCAACTTTAATTGTGCGATCTGGTCATAAGTCAGGACTGTGTTTGTCACCGTTAGTAAGCGTATGTACTTTTTATATGGCTGTGAAATATACTTTTCCCTCACTGTGACCGCTTCATTTATTCGCTGACAAATCTTAAAACATCGAGTACCTTGCAGATAGTTACACCATCTTCTATGTAAAGTTCTCAGCCCAACAAATGACAGAACACAGATGGGAACCGAGCTGGGGGCGTTGGAGGGCACTTTCCGCTCTGGGGCCCCGGCTTCGTCCGCAGAAGCCCGTGTGGCTAACACCTGGCAGGCGGCCGCTCAGGACGAGTCAGCATTTGTCTTTGGGGGGACTTCAAGGTCTCCCACAAAGACTCTGAAACGGTGAGGGATAGAGAGCGGGGGATAGGAGGGGGTCTAGATTGGCTGTTTCGGTGGTCCCAGCTCTGACTTCATTCATACCCCTGCACAAAAACGTTTTCTCAGGCACCACCTTGCTGAAACCCTGCGCCCGTGTGCACGGTGCTCAGGGTGGTGTGGTGGGACGTGAGACCCCTGCAAGAAGCCTGAAGTTGGATGGAGTGGGGAGCGGGCAAGGCTGATAGTTTTGATGGTGATGTTTCCTTTAGTAATCGGAACATTTTAGAACAGAAAGGGACCTGGCTCAACCCCAGCTCTTCTGAAGAAGAGAAAACGGGCCTCAATAAAGGTTTATGTCTCACACAGATTTTTATGTGGTTAGGACTCTCTGGGGTCCTGAATGAGCTGGGCTGGGGGCGGATGTGGGGTGCAGGGCTCCCCGTCAGAGAACACAGAGAAATCAGACAGTAGGGCCGTGTGGAGGGAGGGAACGTCAGCAGCATATCAAGCTGCCACAGGGATCTCAGGTCCCTGCATAGACCTTGTCTGCATTTTTAAGTCATTTTCAAATTGTGCGGCTTCTTGAGGGTCTGANGGTCAGAGAACACAGAGAAATCAGGCTGCCACAGGGATCTCAGGTCCCTGCATAGACCTCGTCTGCATTTTTAAGTCATTTTCAAATTGTGCGGCTTCTTGAGGGTCTGAGTACCACACCCCCAAACTCCACTGGAGGAAGACTCGCCTCCTCCACAGATACCCCAGGTGAGCGGCAGCCCCTGGAAGCCTCGTTGCCTGCTTAGCTGTTACGAGGCTATTGGGTTTTGCTAGATTAAATCAGTGAAACATTTCTTATAGAGCCATGTGATAAGGTGAGACAGACTCAGAACTCAAGGCTGGCATTTTTTGGGGGGGAAGGGGGCCTGGAAGCCTCCTGGTTATTATATTTGTTTTCCGTGTAGGACCCTCTGTGTGCTGCAGGCTCAGTAAGAATAATCCAGAGCGGCTCTGGGAGCTGGTTCAATGTAATGTCATCACTTTTCAATGAAAGGAGCCTATTTCCTGAGCAGTGAATGAGTGTATTATTTGTGGCAGCGTTTCTGTCAAGGGAGCTTTTCAGACATCTGGTTCCAAAGACAAATGGGATATGTATATTTATATATATATATATGTATATATATAGAGAGAGAGAGTGAGATACTTCTGATCTCTGGACCTGCGCTCAGTTGTCTGAGACCCGGAGTCTGTGGCACCAGGGACCGGGGCAGGGGTAGGGGTCGGGCGCAGAGCACGTCGGCGTTGGTGCTTCCCTTCCTCAGGTGTGTCTGCATCTGTGCTGCTGTGTGGATAGGGAGGCATTTGGCAGAACCAGTCCTGGGAGCATCCAGTAGCAAACTGAGGGAGCACCTGGAGCTGGGAGGGGTGCAGCCCCTGGAGGGCTGCAGAGGACAGTGGCTGGAAGCTGCTTCATCACAGGTGAAAAAGGCTCTGACCAAAAGGCCCGAGCCAGTCACTCAGCATGCTCCCTGCTCAGAAGATGACCCGTAGCTATTTTGGAAGGAAAGTCTGGTGTTTTATAAACCTTCAGGAAGAATGAAATTGATTCTTTCCAGGCCTTGTTCCCACAGCCAGCTGGAAAAGGGCAAGAGGCCAGCCTGTCAGGAGCCGGCTGCTCGTCCAAAGTTAGGCAGCAGGTCTGAGACGAGAGGGCCTTCACCGTGTTCATCTCTGGCCACCAGAGTGTTAGCTAGATTAGGCTTTGCTCTGATAATAAATCAAACGCCAAATCTGTGACTTGCCTGGTAAAGGCTTATCTCTTACACACATTTTTATGCGGCCCAGACCCCAGAGCAGTTAGCTGCCTTCCACGTGGTGACTCAGGGATCCAGGCTGCTTCCACCTGTGGCTCTGTGCTCTCAAAATGAAGTTTGACTGGCTGGTCCAGCAGGGGGGGAGCTGCAGCTGGTCCTGTGGCCCTGCCTGTGAGCCAGAGTCTGAGGAATGTGGGGAGCACGTGGCTATTTGGGGTGCAGTTAATGTTTCTGCCACAGGGAAGGCACAGATGCCAACCACATAAAGGGCCCCTAAAATTGGACTGGGCTTTCCTGCTGTTACATGATTATGAGACCTCTTAATAAAGGGATAAGCATTATTAATTATTAATATTCAAT